GGAGAAGGATTATGAAGAGGTGGGCGTGGACTCTGTGGAAGCAGAGGCCGAGGAAGGGGAAGAATACTAGATGGAGTGCGGCAGGTAGCCATTTATTTGTATCTCCCCCACTATGATATTACAGATTTACCTATTAAAATTTCTGTATTGAGGCATCTCCTGTCCCTTGTGCTTCATTTGACAAAATTTCCCATCCAGATACCTGCCTTTTCCAAGTAGATTTCTGGAGGGAAAACATCCGTTTGTTTCCTTTCAAAAGGACAGATATTATCAAGCATGTCTGTGCACATTTAACTGGTTATATACATTAACTCCAAGAAAGGCTTCAAAACGTTTGGTTGAGGGAATTAGAAAAATGCTTTATTTCAAATATTTTAAACATTAAGTCTTCAGCTCTCCGTACTTGGTGTTCTTTGGCAAATAAAACAGTCATGTTTTTTTCACCCAAAGAAAGCTTTCTGAAATCATGGAGTGACTTTTCACCCCGTGTCTTTGTGGGGGTGGTGGGGCAGCCCCGGCCAGCTGCTCCTCCAGGGCAGCGCAGGCCCAGTTCTGAAACTCCATTTTTCCCAAATGTCTCACGTTCCTGGCCGACACTGCCACAGTAGACCTTCAGCCCATCACACTTTCCTATAATCAGTGGTTGCCGCTCAATCGCTCAACCCACTTGGGGCATCTGCCCCTGAAGTCCTTGTCCTAGTATCCAGGAGTAAGTTTTGAGCACTGGTGTTTGCCAGGTTGTTCTGTGCAAGCATCCCGGCCACTTGTCATTGGGGTTTCTTTTGTGCAGTTAGGGACCCTCGGGGCAGGCGGCTCGGCCGACTCTCAGCTCTCGTGGGTCCCGGCGCACGTAGCTGTGCGCCCCAGAGCTGGCTAGTAGTCGCAGTGACGCGCCCCTTGATCTGCGCCCGGCAGCTTACACACCAGCGCTCGCACTGAAAACAACACAGGACAAGTTTGCGGCGCAGGCCGCTCCCACTCGCCAGCTAGCCACGCCCCCTTCCCGTCCAGCCCGCAGCCGAGCGCCGCACGCGCCCGCTCCCGCGTCTCTATGGTACAAACTTCCGCCGCGCGCGAACCATCGCGAGACTTCGGCTGCGCAGCAATGGGGAGACTGTGACTGCAGCTGACAGGAGTCCAGAAGCCGGGCTGGGGCGAGATCGGGCCGGGGGAGCCCGGACAAGCCAGGGCCCCTGGAGCGGAGCGGCGGTTGGGGCGCGAGGCCCCTCCGGGCCCGGACAGACGCCCTTGCCCAAGCTCCTGCCTCTCCCCCAGATGCCGCGTCACTGTTCCGCCGCCGGCTGCTGCACACGGGACACGCGCGAAACGCGCAACCGCGGCATCTCCTTCCACAGGTCAGCGCGCGTGCGTATGTGCTGGACTCGCGCGCCGCTTTGGGCGCGGACTGCGCATGCGCTCCGGGCCTTCCTCTGGCTGGGGCGAGGCTTGAACTCTAGGGTGTGAGAGGATGAAGGGGGCGGTGCCGGTGGGACCGAGATCTATAAGGGAAGAAAGGGGCGGGAGATTTGGGCCCTCTGCTCCCTGACTCTCACCGCTAGATGACGCCGAACTAGCTGTCCTCGAGGCTTCACTCCGTGTCCGGGCGGGCAGCGCTCCCCGGCGCTGTGCGCAGTGCCAGCTCTTCCTGCCCAGGGCCCCGGGCGGCATGAGCCCGCGCGGCGGGCGGCTCGGCGCTCAGGGGTGTGTGGCTCCGCAGACTTCCCAAGAAGGACAACCCGCGACGAGGCTTGTGGTTGGCCAACTGCCAGCGGCTGGACCCGAGCGGCCAGGGCCTGTGGGACCCGGCATCGGAGTACATCTACTTCTGCTCCAAGCACTTCGAGGAGAACTGCTTCGAGCTGGTGGGAATCAGGTGGGCCTCCTCGCGGGCAGCTGGGGTCGGGTGTGGGGTGTAGGTGTGGGGTGTGGGTGTGGGAGAAGCCGGGTGGAGGGTGGCCGATGAGGAGGGCCCTGGAAGAGTGGCCTGAGGACAGTCTGCGAGTCAGATGAGGCTCCAAGGGCGGTTTGGCTTTGTCCCACCTATTTCCTCTTCTAACAAATGAAGACAGGATCACCGCCCCAGTGACGCAGAGAAAAAGCATTAGCTCTTCCAGAGGGTGTTCTTCAGAACGTCAGCCCTCCCAGCAAACCCACAGATAAAAGAACCCCTTGTGCTGATCAACCCAGCCCTGCTGGGGAGCCTCTCACCACATTAGCTCCAAGGAGGCCTGCAGGGAAGACATTGTCTAACTACCTGACCTTGCATTCCGCAGACTTCCAATTTGCACCTTTGCCTTCCAGCCTCCTATAGCACTGGTGTCCAGGGACCCTGCTCGGGGGTGCTGGTGGATGTGCCGGCCCCGCGCCCAAGGCAGGTCCGTCTATGGGGGCAGCATCTGTTCTCAGCTCATCCAGGCTGCTTTTCCCACAGCGGGTATCACAGGCTGAAAGAGGGGGCAGTCCCCACGATATTTGAGTCTTTCTCCAAGTTGCGTCGGACGTGCAAGACTAAGGGGCGCGGATACCCACCTGGCCCTCCTGACGTCAGCCGGCTACAGAGATGCAGGAAGCGGTATGTGCTACAGGTGGGGGGATGCCCCACTCCACCCCCTTACCGCAATCTGAGGGGCTGGGTTTTGGGGTGTTTGCCAGTATTCTGAGAGCAGTTATCTAAGCCCAGGTGTGGGATGGGGGCGGAGGGGGCTAGTGAAATGGGGTCTGGTGCAGCCTTAGCCTGGCTTGTCAGGCTCTTTCTCTCCCCAGCTGCTCTGAGGGCCGAGGACCCACAACTCCATTTTCTCCATCTCCACCTACTGACATCCCCTGCTTTCCTGTGGAAGAGGCTTCGGCACCTGCGGCTTTGCCGACCTCTCCAGTTGGGAGGCTGGAGCCTGGCCTCAGCAGCCCCTTCTCAGATCTCCTGGGGCCCCTGGGCGCCCAGGCAGATGAAGCAGGCTGCAGTGCCCAGCCTTCTCCACAGTGTGAGCCGGAGCGGCAGCCCTCCCCTCTCGAGCCTCGGCCTGTCTCCCCTTCGGCCTACATGCTGCGCCTGCCACCCCCTGCAGGAGCCTACATCCAGAATGAGCACAGCTATCAGGTGGGCAGTGCTCTGCTCTGGAAGCGGCGGGCGGAAGCGGCCCTCGATGCCCTGGACAAAGCCCAGCGCCAGCTGCAGGCCTGCAAGCGACGGGAGCAGCGGCTGCGGCTGCGCCTCACCAAGCTGCAGCAGGAGCGGGCGCGGGAGAAGCGGGCACAGGCTGACGCCCGCCAGACTCTGAAGGAGCACGTGCAGGACTTTGCCATGCAGCTGGGCAGCAGCTTGGCCTGAGGGACGGGCACTGACGGAGGGGCAGTACCAGCCTTCTCTTCCCTCTGATTCTGCCCAAGAGGGACCTGAACTGAGCTGCATCCGCCAGACCTGACCAGATGCCATAATAAAGTGGATACTAGAACAAGGCCTGCTGTCTGGCTCCGATGGGGCTGGGGACCCTCCTTGGGTCTCAGGCTCATTCCCCAAAAAATGGCCACTGGTCAGTGGGCTGGAAGCCCTTGCAGCTCCCAGAAGGCGCAGACACTGGAGCCTAAGCTCTTGCCTGCCTGGACCAGAAACCCCAGTCTTCTGTTCTTCCTTGGGGCTGTACAGGTGGACAGGTAGAAGGCCACCACTGGATGGATATCTGGTACCTGCCCCCACCCTGTACCCCACAGGAGTCCCTGAAGGGACCCAAACCAACAACCCAACTGCCATCAATTCAGTTCCAACTTATAGCAACCCCATAGGGTTTCCAAGGCTGTAAATCTCTACAGAAGCAGATTGCCACATCTTTCTCCCGCAGAGCCACTGGTGGTTTGAAACCACTGACCTTTCAGTTAGCAGTTGATCACTTTAACCACTGTGCTACCAGAGTACCTTTCTGAAGAGACAGAGTGATATAATGGCCAAGGCAGCCCCAGGCATCTTATCCTTGGGACTTGAAACAGCCTTGACATAAGCAAGCTGGCCCCTCTGGAAATGCTCACAAAACGCAGTCCAGACTCCACTCCTTTGCACGGATGCCCCACCTTCTGTCCACAAGCTAGCCTACCTGCTGGTTAGCAGGGCAAGCACCATGTGGACCTGGCACAGCACTGGGTCCCAGCCTCCAGGCCAGCCCCTACTCCCCACTGGGACCTCTCTCCAAGACACAGGTAGTGATGACACCCACCTATCGCATGGGCTGCTGTTCTGGGCAGGTAGCGAGGACCCCGCAGTGGCCTTTCTCATTCCTGGATGTCTGGGGTGAGGTGGGTAGAGTGGTGGCAGTCCTGTGTAGCAGTCCTAGCTTCAGCACATGCTCTTATTTATCAACTCGAAGAATCCAGGCCTTCCTTTATTTGTGTTTTCTGAACAGTCCAGTGTGTGGGGTGACATAGACAGCAAGTATGACTTCTTCTTGCTGTCCTTGGCCACCACAACCCAAAGAACATAGCTGAGTTCTAGTCCCAAGGGAATGAGGCAAACTGCCACATGGCATCTGAAATGTGCTTTCCCGGGGCCCCTGGCATGTAACCACCTTTATTCAGAGTCCTCTCTAGGAGAGCCGCTTGGGGGACCAGTGAATGCAGGGTTTGCTGGTTTGTACAGGCTCCTCCTGGAATGGGGTAAGGCTGCCCTGGGGGTGTGGCAAGCAGTGTCTTGCAGGGTCCTCGGTAGGGGGCTTGGTGGCCCCACCATGAATCACCTACGCTGGCCTGCCTGCCACACACCCTGGCCAACACCCCTCCCCACCTGTGTCCATGGCCCCACTGCTTCCCACCAGGTCTCCCCTCAGTGCATGGCCTCCCACTGCAACGCCTCCTGCTGCCCACTCCTAGTGTCCCCCAGCTCATTTTTTGTGCCAGGCCACATCCTAAGTTGCTGGCTGCCACCCTTGGCTCAGGGATTTCTGGACTGCACACAGTCATCTAGGCCCTTTTCAGCAAGGACTGCTGTGTGGCAGGACCAGGATGGAGGGGAGTACACACAGGGGAGGGGGCGAGCTCCAAGGCCAGGACTAAAGTAACTCACCCCCAAAGGGGACTCTAACCTCCTGGCAGCCAGGGCAGAAAGGTCCCAGAGATTCTTGTTCCCAGATAGGGTGCAGGAATGTACCACCGCACAAGGGTGCACTCACAGGGCCTCTGTAGAAGACAAGTGGATGCAAGGATCTGTCTCCAACTTCCCAGCCAGGCAGGGGCCAGCCCACAGTCCACAGAAGCCAGCTGTGCTGGCACAGGAGCGAGGCAGCTCTGGGCCTCAAGGGTCTGCGGGGGGGCGGGGTCAGGCTGATTCCTCCCACAGCTCCCCCCACCATGTGACTAGTGTGGGGAGTGCCGACAAGCCGGGCTGCTGGGCAGGCACAAGTGGAGATGGACACAGCAAGCTGTGTGGTAGCTCTATGTGGCTTTAATGCGGCATTTGTGACAGAGTAAATGCTTAGTGAGGGATGCATGGCGGGCCCCGTGGACTGCAGCCCCACAGCCCCACTGGAGCCAGGCCCAGATCACCTAAAATTCATCTCTTTGAGTCAGATCCCACCCACCCATCGCTGATCCCCACTCAAAGACTCAGGGTGGGAGAGCCCCTTACACAACCTCTGTGAGGGTGGGAGGCAGCACACAGACCCCCCGGGGCTGCAGCATTCTGCTGAGCCCTCCCTTCCACGGTCAGAGGCTGCAAGCTCCTGCTGGGAGGGTGAGGGCTCGTCCCTCCCCATGCTGGGCAATGGCCAGGATCCTGCCTCCTCCAGCCGTGTCCCCATCACTGACCCCAGCTTCCTACCTACACCTCCACACCAGGAGAGTGCAGCCAGGCATGTGACCTGGGACGTGTGTCCTCAGAAGCAAAATGAGGTGTCTGAGCCTCCCTTCTGGGGTTCTGGGCATCCTGCCTGATCATTCTCAACCCATTCACCACAGGGCCGCGTGTGGCCGGCACAGGGCTGTACGTGGCTGGCACAGGGCTGCTTGTGGCCAGCAGTGTCTCTGCAGTGGGCACTTCGTGGGTCCTCATATGTCGGCGCCCAGCTCTGCGCACTGCTTGTCGGAGATGTGGGAGGCCAGGGAGTCTATGATGTCAATCAGCAGCTGCTGACTCAGTGACCGCAGTGTAGGCAGCTTGGAGACCTGCGGGAGGTGACCACACGCCAGAATGGGATGGGCCCAGGTAGCACTAGGGTGGGTTGCGAGGCCCTCTGGGGGCCTTCCTGGCCAGCACGGCTCAGGTGGCTCAGAGAATGGTGAGGGGTGGCCATGGGTGGGCAACCCTGCATAGCTTATCCCAAGGGCCCACCACCACGTGGCTGAGGTCACTGCCCAGGGAAGTGGGTCCTAAAGGTGAAGCCTGTGGCCTGACCTTGGTGAACTGGTGCACAATGATGTGCAGGCAGTGCCGCTTCATGTCCAGCGCCTGTGTCTTATCAGCTGCTTCCAGGATCTGGAAGAGCAGGTACCTGAGGTGCAGCACCCTGTCACCCACCCAGGCCCTGGAGGAGGCCCAGCCCTCAGGGGGAGGCCCAGGCCGGCTGAGCTACCTGCAGCACGTTCTGCACCGTCACATTCATCTCCAGGTTCTGCTTGCAGTAGGCCTGCAGCCGGTTGTTGTAGAATCCGTAGTAATAGGGAGCAGCAAACAGATAGCTGGGCTGGTTAAGGAGCTGCCAGCACGGGGACTCTGTCCTCCCATGGACCTTTCTCCTCCTCCCCCTCACTGATGGTGCGGCTGGAGCCGCACACTCATAGGGGTAGAGGACACTGGGGGCCGTGGCTTCCCCTCCTGCTTGCCCAGAACCAGGGTGGCTGCGTCACAGGAGGGACTGGCCCTGGGCTTCACAGGGAGTAGGGGCTGGGATCAAGTCCTGGCTCGGACACCAACTTGCTCTCTAAGTGGGGTTCTGAATCACTTAGGGGTCCCAGAGCCCCTTCACAATCGAAAGAAAACCATGGAATCCTCCCTGCAGAAAAATGTCCTTATATACATTTGTAGAACCAGTCCCAGGTCTCACAGACCCCCTGCACGGCACCCTGTAGGGGAAGGGCCCCATGATCAGACCACCACTGAATGCTGGTGGTATCACTCCACATGTATCTGCTCACTTGTCAGAGCCAGGACAGCCCTTCTTCAGGCTGCTGAGGACAAGAACCCAACCATCCCTCCCAACTGGAAAGCCCTCCCTATGGCCATCCTATGGCTGGAGAGAACCCCTGGGGAGCGCCAGGCCCAGGACAGTGGGCACTGGGAAATTCTCTGGAGAGTGTGGTGACCTGGCTAAGACCACCGGCCCAACCAAGACAGCGTGCCCCAAAGCCCCCAAGCAGTGGCCCAGGAGCCCCAGGCGCACAAGGATACAGTGAGTCCTCAGGTGGCATGTTGACCTCGCCATAGTAGATGTAGCGCAGCATGGACTCAAAGGCCTGCCGGCTGGGGACCATCTCCCCAATGGAGATGTTCACCTGCCCATCCTCAGGCATGAAGGAGCGGAACATGGCCTCAAAGTAGCTGCAGATAAGGTGGCGATGGCGGCTCAGTGAGCATGGCCAGCAGCTGGGCCCACCCCCGCTCTGGGCCCCCACCCACCTGGAGCGGGCAGCTAGGATGGCCTTGTGAGCTGGCCGTGGGTGTCCGTCCAGTAGCAACGTGATGTCACAGAACTCCGCACCTGCCCCCTCCAGGTACGCCTTCATGTCCTGGATCAGAGATGTGCCTAGGGGTGGGGAAGAAGCCTGAGCAGGTGCCTCCCAGCCTCCCACAGACCCGCCTGCTCCCTTGGCCTGTCAGGTACTACCTCCCTGCACATCCATCGGCGTTGTTCCCTGGACAAAGCCTCCCTGGCCAGAGGCTTCACTTGGGCCCTGGGCACTGCCGGACCTGCTCTCCTTGGCCCTTGTATACCCAAGCCCTGCAGCTCTAGGAAGTCGTCTCAGGCCCTCACGTCTGACCTCCCTGCCCAGATGCAGCACCCCTTGGCCCCTTTGCTCCGGCTGCAGACAGTGTGGGACTTCAGTGTCTCCCAGAGCACTAAGAGCTCAGGGGCTGGGGTCAGCACAGGTCCCAAGAAGGGTCAAGAGAGTACAGGCTGGGTGGGGTCTGGTCTGTGGGCTGTTCTCACCCTTCACTAGGCTCCAGACAGGTGTGCCTAAACAAGCAGCTCAGCAGCTGACTTGCTGTGACCCTAGGTATGTCACTGACCTCAGAAGTGATCAGACCTGAACCCCCAGCCAGGGCAAGCAGCCCCATCTCCACCACCAGCAATGGGCTCAGGGGTCACTCCACCCACTGGCGCAGCCCACTGCTGATAGCCCTGTGGCCAGGCGGTTCTTCATTCCACAGAGCTGCCCAGCTGTGGGTATGCTTGGGACACACTCTGGGGTCTCAATGCCCTCCCCCACAGCCTGAGGGCTTGGCAGACACTATCTGAGGCTCCCAAGTCTTCTACCCATGATGGACACACCCAGCTGGCCCCTCTCAGGGACGGTGACGGGGGCTCCCTACCGATGTCCACAGGCTGGTCTGAAGGGGCGCGAGGGGGCGGCTGCTGCTTCCGCCGCACGATCTCCACAATGAGAGGTGACGAGAGACGCTCAAACTCCTTCATCATGATCACTTGGTTGAAGTGGGACTCCTTCACCACAAAGTTCAGGCAGTGCTCCTGGACAGACAAACCGGGAGGGTGGCAGGTGAGGGCCGAGCAGCAGGCTGGACACAGGGAGGGGATGGTGGAGTGTGGCAGACCCTCCCCAACTGCCCCAGGCCCCAGTGCACCTTGAGCTGGCCCAGCTGCAGCCTGGCAGCGCTCTCACACACAACCAGCACGTTCTGCAGGTCTACAGAGGCCTCGATGTATTGCCGACACAGCTGCTCAAGGCGGCACAGCTGGAAGCTCAGCGCCAGCTTGTACACGTCCATGATGAGCAGCACGTCCTCCACGTGGCCTGTGCCCAAGAGCCTCCTGAGCTACGGGGCAGGGGGCCTGGGGCTCCCCCAACGGAGGGGACGGGTCAGTGCTGCCAGGCGGGAGCAGGCCATGGGGGGCTCAGCTGTTCACGCCTGTCACCACAGTAGTCACAGCCTCAGGCTCAGACTGCCCATCTGTAAGGCGGGAAACGCCACCTCCCACCATGGAGCAGCACTGCCCTGCCCTGTCCGGTGCTCGCCTCACCCTGTCCCGCGCTTACTTGCCCCGTGTGCCCCGCCCAGCAGACCTTTCCGCGGGTATCGAATCTTGTCCGTGTAGAGGAACTGCATGAGCACCTCAAAGGGCCGGGCCTCAGCCTCACGGATGGCCACAGGCAGCAGGGGTGGCCGGGCACCACCCACAGCCCCACCAGTGGCCTCCCTGGGGGCCGAGGACGCTTCTTCCTCCAGCTTCTGTAGGGAAAACAGGGGTGTCCAGGGCTCTGCAGGCGGACACAGTGCCAGCTGAGTGGATGTGCCTCACCTAGGCCAGCCTCACCTGGGCCAGCCGCTCCCGTGCCTGCAAAATCTTCCTGCGCAGCCAGCGGCTCCGTGCTGTGACAATGGCCACGTGGCCCTGCACACACTCCTCCTTCTGCAGTAGAGACGGTACATGGTTGATGCTGTGGGACCCCGTCTCAGGACAGAGGCATAGCCAGCAGGCAGCCCACCTGAGGTGCAAGGCTTCTCCTCCCTGGGCAGCAGGCAGGGGACCCAAGGAAGGGCACCCACCTCGCCCAGCACAAACTCCACATCACAGAACTGGCGGCTCTCCCACAGCCGCCCGTAATCCTCATGTAGCGTGCACTTGGGGTAACAGGAAAACTACAGGGGACAACAGAATGGGGCCACACTCACCATAGGCTCTCCAGGCTGACCTGGGCTCCAGAAGGCAGGTGGGGTCACCCTGAGGCCTCAGGCCTGTGGCATCTGCAGCTGCCCCTGTACCGGGGCCTCCACCACCACTCTCATCTTCAGCCTGGGCCCCAGCCCACCCAGCAAGCCCATAATCCCCACACCTGGAACCTGTACATCTCCCCGCTGCGGATGTTGTTGTCCATGGTGCCTCCGAAGATGTACATGGCGTCCGAGATTACAGCAGCTGCGTGGAAGAGCCTCCCGCTGGGCAGCTGGGGGAAGGGGGGCAAGTTGGTGGGTGGGTGGGATGGGGCAGGTTCTCTGGCAGTGGGGCTAGGGGGTGGTCAGGGAGCACAGCCCCCTGGCAAAAGGGCTCCCAGACGGGACAGAGCTGCGGTGTGTGGGGGGCCCAGAACAGTGAAGTAATGGGCAGAACAGTGCTCGGTTTAATAAGCTGAACCACTGAGGCCCAGGGGCAAACGCTGCAGCTGGCGCTGGAGTCCTTGGGCTCAGGGGCAGGCTAGGCTCCAGGCCCTGCTCCTTACTTGCTGTGACCCTGAGTGGTACTGTTTGTGCCTCAGCCTCCCACCTGTGAGTGGGGCTGACAACGGAACCTGCCCAGGTGGTTGGGGTGCTGGAGCCTTAGTGAGGCCTTGTTTCTACTCACCTCTGAGGCTGGCTGGGCTGGCTGCTTGGCTGTTGTGGGGCTGAAGTCCAGGCCAAACACATCTCGGGACTTCTTGAAGCCACTCCGCTCCTCGGCGGCCAGGGCAGGCACCTCCTCAGAAGCAGATGCTCGCTCTGGCACCTCCACCCCACCAACCTGGTGAGACAGCATGGAGAATGAGACCAGGGAGTGGGGGCCAGGCAGGCCCCAAAAACTCAGGCCCCCAGCCCCAAGAGCACTGTGGGAACAGGGTGCAGGGCAGGAAAGGCCACAGGACAAGGTGGCTCATAGCACGTGGTCAAGGGTGGCTGTGCAGGGCCCCAGGGTGAACATGTCTTCAGCACAGGGAAGACTTGGCAGGTGTGGGACATGACAGGCTCCCTTGGCCACGGACCAAGGCCAGGCCAGTGGGCCAGGGTGAGCCAAGTGGGCATCCAGGTGCTATCCAGGCAGCTATGGCCTTGCCTTGCTTCCACTATGGCACATACCTCGCTGTCAAGAACAGGGTGGTCAGTGGGGATAGAGGGAGCAGGGAAGATGCCATAGCATCTGGCCTGGTGCTCACCTCGCTGTCAGAGCTGGGCTGAACAACCTCCCAGGTCTGGAAGTCCACGTCGTAGCAGTGCAGCTCATTGGGCAGTGTGTTGTCGGCTGCACCCCCGAAAACGTAGAGGTGGCGGTCAAAAGCCACCATGGTGTGCCCATAGCGCCGCTGTGGGGGTGGTGGGGAGCCCCGGAGCAGGTGCTCAGTGGGGATGCGTGTCCACCTGGGGGCGTATAGCAGTGAGCCAGGCCCCGGGGCCACTGCTCCCACACGGCCTCTACTGGGCTCCACTGCTGCCACTGGGGCCCTACCCATGCCCCTTCCCTGTGCCCATCATAAACCAGGGGCGATCCTGCTTCAGAGGCAATGGAGTCCTGCACAAAACAGTGCCACGGCGGGCGGCTGCGCGTGCTCCACGGCGCCTGCCAATCCCCACAGCTAGGCCACTGCAGAAGCCGCCCAGACCGCCTCCCGATGTGCTCCCGTAACACTTCCCACAAGGCCAAAGCTTCCGCCAAGACCCTAATGCTTAGTCAGCTGGATAGCCTTAACATCCCGCAGGCAGCTCCTATCCAGATGGGACGTGGAGCCTGTGCACTGCCCACACACAGGGCCTTCCCACCCACAGCAGAGAAGGTGACCACAGGCCTCTGGGAGGGAAAAGGGGCAAAGGGCGGAGACCGAGGCAAGGCATGCGGCCACCTAGGAGGGCTGCAGGAGAACAAAGGCTGATGGGGGTTGCCAGGCCTCCCAGCGCCCACCCTGGGCTGCAGGGTTTCTTCTTACTCCCCATCCACTCCGCCACCAGCCTTGAGACAGGCGCCACCCACTCGCACTGCCCGCCCTGCTTCTCCAGTCTGCTTCATGGGTGGCCCGGGCCCTGTCTCCAGCCACACTGGCCCTGGGCCCCTCACTCCCGCCTGCAGACCCCCAAGAGACAGGTATCCTGGGGCCCTGCATCTTCCCCCAGTGCTGGCTGAGGACCCCCTCGCAGATTCGGTGCTGCAACCTACCTGCCTGGCCCAGACACTGAGCGTCTGTGTCCACTTCCCCTACATCTGGGTGCCCCCAAACTCTGCCTCCAAAGCATGTCTGGATTCCCCCTCACCGGCCCTCCTGCTCAACGCAGGCCTCTGCATCATTCCTCTCCAGGTCCGTCACCCTGCACTGTGGCGGCACCCCCTCCCACTTACTCCCTCTCACCTCTCCAGACATGGTTGGCCCCCCACCCGCACCCAGCCCTCTGTGCTCTAGCAGCCCAGAAGACACTGGCCCTACCACCATCCAGCACCTCCCAGCCCCGCTATGGCCAGGCTAGCGCCTCGCCCCTCCCTGCCCAGTGGAGTCCAAAGTCTGCAGGGAGAGTGGAAGTGCCTGGCCAGGGGCAGAGGCCTCGTATGGAGCATTGTGAGGAAGGAAGCCAGAGGGCTGTCAGGGCCGCACTGAGCAGCAGGACAAGGGACAAGAACAATGGTACTCAAGGTGCTGGCCCAGCTGGAGCTGTGGGCGAGCAAAGACTTCCAAGGTCCAGGCTGAGGTGTGGTGCTTGCCCTTGCGACTGGGCAGCAAGACCCCCGGGTGCACTCGGCCAGACACTGATGAGAACGGCCATTATAATGAGACAGAGAATAAGCAAGAACCAGGGCACAGGGCATGCAGGTGGCGCCACTCCAGAGCAGGGTCTTGGGTGGGGCAGCAAGTGGGACACCAGAGTTCTACGCGGCAGCCAAGCAGAGCCCCCGTCCTGTATGTAGTGAGACCCTCCTCCCAGGCCTGGCCAACCCCAGAGTGGGGAACTGGTCCCCTCTGCCCAGGAGGCGGACACTTCCTCCTACCTGCTGACAGCCCTGGCCTTCAAGGCAGCTCCCAGGTCCCCCTCCTGGGTTCCCAGAGCCGAAGCAAGGCCGGCAGCCACCCCCAGGAGCAGGCTTATCGTGGAGCCGAGGGCCAGCAGCAGAAGGGTATTACAGCTGGAAGCTCCTAGGGCCTGTGCACCCCTCTGATCTCCCACCATCACATGAGATCTATGCTGGCTGCAGGTGGTATTGGTGGCACTGACCAAGCTCTTCAAGGAGCAGGGGCATCCTCCCACTGGATGAAGGAGCAGGGCCCACCCAGGACCTACCTTGTAGACAGCCACACCCAGGAGCCAAGGGGCCTTGTGCCTAGCCTATACAAGGCACACTGTGCACCCTGCTCCAGGAGAGCAGCTGGGAGGATGGCGACCAGAATTCAGGCTCTGGGGCTGATTGTGGAGGCATCTACCAGCTAGGTCACCTATCTGCACCTGCCCAGGGCCCCGCCCACGACGGCACTCACGTCTTGTCTTTGAATTCAAACTGGAAGAGGTTGTTGGTGATCTTGGCTCCACTCTGGCCGGAAAACACGAACATCTTGTCTTGGCACACGGCCACGGGGAAGTTGCAGCAGGAGGGCGGGATCTCGCCGATCTGGGCCACCTGTGGGGGAATGGGGGATGCTCAGCCTGGGGCCTTCTAGGACCAGGCTCAGACTGTTGCACTTGAGCTGCTTTTACTTTTGAAACTTCCCTAAATAAGTGTTGGCGATTAAATTTTGCAGAACAGCCTAAAGTATAAGAACAGCTTCCCACAAACCATCTCACAAACCAAAAACAATCAGGTGCTGTGAGATCAACTCCAACTCATGGTGCCCCTATGTGTGTCAGGGTAGAACTGTGCTCCACAGGGCTTTCAATGGGTGACTTTTTGGAAGTAGATTGCCAGGCCTTTCTTCCAAGGTGCCTCTGGGTGGTCTTGAACTTCCAACCTTTTGATCAGTGGCTGACTGTGTTAAATGGCCATGCAGGGACTCCAAGTTTGAACAGCTGGGGCTAAACTCATCACTACAGAGGAAAGGAACAGTGCGAGGGGACAGTGGGACAGCATGACAGGTGGCCCGGAAGCTCCAGTGACCATGACTCTGGAAAATGTGGATTAGACCAAAATAGCATCCGTCACTTGTGACATTCAACTCCCCAACAGCACAGAACCTACAGAGGTGGCTTGCTAGGTACCTGCCACTGAAACTGGGAAAGGGGCTGAGCAGGAGGCAAGGCTGGGAACAGGCTGGGCTTGAGCAGGGGAGAAGGCACCTACCCTGGCTCCCTGCACCCCTTACCTCCTCCCAGCATGTGAGCTCCCGATCCTGGAGGCCAATCGTCCACATGTCATTCAACCTGCATTAGGACGGGGTGATGACCCTCACCATTGGGTCTGGCTGTCAGGGCAGCACAGCCCTGCCAGGAGGGCAGGCCCCAGGGATGAATCTGTCCCTAGGATGCTGATCAGGGACACTCGTGCAGAGCCATAAGGCGGGAGCTTCAGCAGAGGAGGGCAGCTGTACAGAATCTCTGCAGGGCCGTGACAGCAGCATGCCAACCTTCCACACGCCCAGGGCTGGCATCTGCCTGACCTGGCAACATGCCCAATGTCTGCACACTCAGCAGCTGTCCCTAGTGCTGGCAGGGACCATAAGGAGGTCATGCTCATGGAAGCCACCACCAGCAGAGACCAGGAGGGGTTTCTGCAGTGCTACAGTTTAGGGGACAAACGTGCTGCTTTTGTGATCAGAAAAATACAGTTTTCTAGCACAAGGAGGAAAATTCCTGAGACAGAGGCAGGAGCCCAGGGCTGGGAGAGGCCAGTCGGAAACCCAACGCTGCCCACTGCCCACCAGCCCTCAGGGCCCCTTCTCACTGGGGCCTTGATGTCCTCGCCCTACCCCTACCCGTGCTGGGCTCTGGCCTCTTTGCTCCAGGAACATGCACACCCTGAGACTGATGCATGAACACAGGCTGGGCTCATCACCCTCTCTCCCCAAGGGACTTAAGGGGTCCAGCCCTACTGACTTCTGTGGGGTTGGGTGGGGGCTCCTTCACCCACCCCTGTCCACATGCCCACCCTCCCAAGACCCCTGGGCAGGGTGGTGCTCAAACCCACCGGGCTGACCTTTCCTGGCCAGGAAGGCCTACTCCATGCCTCAGCACACTCAGGGGCAGCGCAGAGACAGGCTGCACAGGGTGGGCGCCACCTACCTGGCATTGCCATCATAGCCAGCGAAGATCCAGAGCTTTTCATTGTACACTGTGGCGCCATGAGCAGACCTAGCGACTGGCAACCTGGAGTGTGGGGGAGCAAGGAGTGAGGCCATGCATGCGCCTGACCCTCACGGCCCCGCTAGCCCAGCACATGAGCTGTTACCCTGTGTGTCCCTGCCTGGACCCCTGAGGTGGCTGGTCCCCACACTGGCCTGATGCCAGGGCTCTGAGAGCCTCTGGCTGGACACTGGTAGTAATGGCACCAGAGCCATGGACATTCCTAGGCTGAGCCCAGGAGGTGCAATGGGTGGCTGAGCAGAGGGATTCGGGCAACCACATAGCCCCAGGACCCCTTCTAAGTGGCCACCAAAATACCCAAAGAAGGATTTGCAAAGGCAGGACCAGGGACGCCTGTCAGCAGTCTGTTTCGGTCTCTTCTAATCTCTAGAAAGAAAGAGTCTCAGGGCTGTAGGGAGGCCGTGGCCACGTTTGGCTAGGAGTCAGTGAGTCCTAATCAGCTTCCAGAGTCCCTGGGTGGTGCAAATGGTGAATGAGCTCAGCTGCTAACCGAAAGTCTGCTGGTCTGAGCTCACCCAGAGGTGCTTCAGAAGAGGCCTGGCAATCTACTTCCAGGAAACTAGCCATTGAAAACCCTATGGAGCATGGTTCTACTCTGACACACAGGGTCACCATGACTCAGAGGCACCTCGATGGCAAATGGTTTGGTGTTTTTGGTTTTAACCAATTCCCAGGCCCTCTTCCCGTGGCTCCTCATCTGTGATGCTGGGAGGCAGGGCAGGTCCACTGGTCCCCAGGGACCAGTTCAGTAGCCATCAGGACACTCCCAGAATCTCAGCCAAGCCTCTCACCGCCCTTCGATCTTCCACTCGGTCCACTGGCCAGTTGCAAACTTGTACTCAAAGAGATCGTTTTTATTCTTCAAGTTAGAATTCGAATAAATGTCCCCAGTGTAGCCCCCTGGGTAGAGAGAGTGAGAAAATGTTATGCCTAAAAGCAGCATTTCAGAGTCTTCAGGCCCCTGGAGACAGGCGCACACCCCTGCAGGTTAAAACACTTTCTGGGACTCCTTCCACCAGCCTCAGGGAGCACTAGCTGCCCTCCTGTCTCTGGGCAAGGCTCTGGGGACACAGATGAGCAGAACAGTGTCCCCTGCTCCTGCAGAGAGGACCCACCTGTCACAGACAATTCCAATACTGTGAGATGGGGACAGTTAGGAATAGGGGCCCACAGGCTGAAGGGGCCTAGAGGAGACCCTGCCCAGCCCAGGGAGGTCATGGGCGACTTCCCAGAACTCATAGGACTCTGGCAGACAAAGCTGAGGGTAGGCAGCAAGGGCCCACCAAGCAGGACCCAGCCTGCAGAGACCTTCATACCAAGGCCGGTACCAAGGGGTCAGGAGAGGGCCCAGAGGCTGCTCACCAAAGACGAACATGCTGCTCCCGTAGACCACAGCTGAGTGGTGGTAGCGGGGTGCTGGCGGGGTCCCAGTTGTGAAGGCCCTGGGGTGGCACAAGGGGTGTGAGTGGTGGTGGGACCAGTGGGGACTCCCACTTGCACAAGACAGCTGCTGTGCCCCCAGGCCTCCTCTTATGTTTTGTATTTCGAAGGTAATACCTGGCTCATTATAGAAACTTTAAAAAATCAGCAAGAACAACAAAAAGCAGGCACTAAGAACAGATAAGAATGATGGCTGCACGTGAAGAATGTAATTAACATCACTGAACTGCACACATGAAGGTTGTTGAAACGTCAAACGTTTTGTTGCATGGGTATTTACCACAATTACGATGATTTTTAAAAACCAAGCACTAAAACCCATGCATAACCCTCCACCAGAAAATTGCGGTCATTCCGCTGTGTCCTCGGAGTATTTATACCTCTGAGTCACTTCTAAGATGGAATCACAAGCAAGATATTTTGTAATCTGCTGTTTCAACTTAACAGTAGGCTGTGGCTCAGCCTTCTTGCCACTCTAGAATCCTCTATACCCAGATCTGCAGTGCTGCCAATACCCTACTGCGTGGGTGGTCCATACGTTTTATTTATCGAATTAAAAAGTCATTTATGCTGCTTTTCCAAGGCTGCTCCTTTTCAGAATTTCATTGTATGCTTAAGCAACTTTTAACAAAGAACTGTAAATTCTTCAAGCAATTTTTAAATTTAATCTGTACCTATTAACTGTATTTTAAAAATGACATGTGGGAGAAACAGCACATAAACTTCAGGAGATATTCCAGTGGCGGCTCAAGTCTCCTGGGACCCTGACCTGGCCACTCAGCAGCTGTGGGTCCTGGGTCAGATATTTATGTCTCCAGTCCCGATGCCCTCCTCTGTCATGGGGCGGGGAGTGGGACCCCCCCACCCTGAGGGCTTCTAGGACCAGGAGGCTGTGCGCAGGGCCCCCACTCAGAGTGTGGCACTACGAGCGCTCAGTGGGTTTGTGATCCTGGTGGGACGATGGCAGAGATCAGGAGGAGCCCGTTAGCTCTCAATCTTGAGATCCATCTCTCCCCTTTCCCTGTGGACTGCTTGCCGGGAAGGGGCCAGACTGGAGTGAATGGGCACAAACATCCTGGGCCCAGAGAAGGCAAACATCTTGCCCAAGGCCAGCCATGTAGGAGGGCATCTGTCAGAGGGAGACCACCAAGGTCCTGGCTCTTCTGCAGAGGGTGAGCCCACAAGGCAGGGGGTGAAGAATGCCCCTACTGCCAGCCCCAGGCACCCTGCAACACAGAGTCAACCCCAAGGGAACCATCAGCAATAGCCCCATGCTGGCTCCCGTAGGAGGCCCTAGCCTGGAGACAGGACTGGTGACTGCAGGGTTCTCCTCGGTTAGAATCTAGAGACCCACAACTGGATCAAACAGATCCCCTAGTAAACAGCATACAGAATTATGCACCACAGTCTTGTGGACAGGGAAAGATACCCAGACAATAGAGGAAAAGGCTAGGAGTGGTTCTGGGTGTGGCAACCGAGGACTGTTCTCCCTTCTTTCAGCTTCTTGGGTTTTCCACAATGAACAGGACGACAATGGCCACTGGAATCAGCAGAGGGTCACTCTGTTTTATAAGACAAAGTGGGGTTTTGGAGCTGAGGCTGCTCACCTGCACCAGGAACAGTCCTTCACGTCAAAGCGCAGGAGGTCATTGAGCATTGTCTTCCTGAAAGTAGCCAGAGAGAGAGCAGCATTGGAACCGAGGAACCCCAAGATGCATGCTGCAGATGGAGGGGCTGCTTTTGGCTGGTTGCTGACCCTCTGGAAGGCGACCCAGCTGTTGCAGGGGCCGGGGCGGCCACACAGGTGGGACCAGGACCAAAGCATTATCCAGCCACCAGGAGCCACCCAGCTGCTACACTGAGGGCAGGAAACAGCCCAAAGGCCAGAGTCACCATCCATAACTCACTCTGGGCTCCACTGTCCCCACTTGTGCATCTCAACACCCCCTCTCTGAGGCTGCTCACCATGGTGCGAATGCTTGCCCACACCTCAAGAGAGGTCCTTTCTTCTCTCTGATCTTCCTGGCCTCTCCATTGTAGAAACAATGTAACACCTACCTTCTGTCAAAGATAGCATACAGTGGAATACAAATCCACTGGTCACTGCACCACCTGTTAGGCTGGCGCCCTCCACACGTCACCTCCCAGACTACTATGGCTGTTAGCTGCCCTCCTCGGCCCCTGACTCACGACAATCCCAGGCACAAGAGAACGAAACTGCACCATCTGCATGACTGGTTGCAGGTTGACCCAATGTGATCCACAGGATTTTTGTTGGCTGATTTTTTGGAAGTAGATCACCAGGCCTTTCCCCTAGTCTTTCTTAGTCTGGAAGCTCTGCTGAAACCAGTTCAGCATCACAGCAACACACAAGCCTCCACTGACAAGACAGGCGGTGGCTGCATATGAGGTGCACTGGCCAGGAATCAAACTTGGGTCTTCCACATGGAAGGCAAGAATTCTACCACTGAACCACCACTGCTTCTCGCTACCACCCAAAAGAAGGCCATCACCTCAACAGCCCAGCAGCTCCTGCCCACTAGGCCTCACTCAGCCTGCACCATCCCAGGGAGGGACATTCCTCTCTCATTTTCCAGATGGGGACACTGAGCCTGGGGATGAAAGGGCGTGCCCAAGACCATGCAGCTGAAACGCAAACTTGGAAGCCTGGAGGTGGGACTGCATCTTGCACTGCAACTAGAGTGAAGATCAACCGTATCCTGTTTCTTATATCAAAAAACGTTTCCGCTTGCTGCTACAGTTGTCACACAAACTCTAGGTTATAGAGTACTCCCAGGGATGGGGGCCCCAATCCCCTCCACACCACACCTCCACTGCCCCCACCACCACCACCACCCCACCCTCCAACCACCCCCCTACCCTCCCACCACCCGCCTACCCCCCTGCCCTGTGCTGGACACCAAGGCCTCTCCTGGTTGGGGGACAGTGTTCATGCTTCAGTAAATGCTACAAGCAGAGTCCTCTACCTTATTCCATTCCAGGTCTGGGTTGGGTGGTGGGGGGATACAGCAGGAACTGAGCTCAGACGTGCCCTGGTGAAGCCAACATTCCAGTGGAGGAGACAGATAGGAACAAATATCCATGTGCTCGAGACCAGTAGAGAGGGTGAGAGGGCTCAGAGGGATGGGCGGCTGCCAGTTCCCACAAGGCATGAGGAGGGCAGGAAGGGGGCAGAGGAAACCATCTGTGCACCTGGGGTGGGCATTCTAGGCAGAAGGAGCAGCCAGGGCAAGGGCCAGGAGAGCGCTTGGTCTAGTCAAAACACAGCAAGGGAGCCAGTGAGGGTGCGAGCACAGGGCCTCACAGATGCCATGACAAGTGGGTGGACATCACAGGGTTCTGAGCTGAGAAGGGACACGCTCCAACTTGCATTTTTAAATGGAGCCCTCTGCTCCAAAATACATAAAACAAACTCTAACAGCAATGAAAAGAGAGATAGACATCTCCACAACAGTAGTAGACTTCAATACACCACTTTCGGTGAAGAACAGAACATCCAGAAAGAAGCTCAACAAAGACATGGAAGAGCTAAATGCTACAACCAACTTGATCTCATAGATATATACCGAACACTCCACCCAACAGCAGCCAACTATACTTTCTTTTCCAACACACGTGGAACATTCTCCAGAACAGACCACATATTAGGCCATAAAGCAAGCCTTAACAAAATGCAAAGCATCGAAATATTACAAAGCATCTTATCTGAACATAAAGCCATAGAAGTAGAAACCAACAACAGAAAAAGCAAGGAAAAAGAATCAAACACATAGACTGAACAACACCTTGCTTAAAGACTACTGGGTTATAGAAGAAATTAAGGATGGAATAAAGAAATTCATAAAATCAAATGAGCATGAAAACACATCCTACCAGAACCTTTGGGACACAGCAAAGGCAGTGCTCAGAGGTCAGTTTATAGCAATAAATCCACACATCCAAAAAGAAGAAAGGGCCATAATCAAAACATTAACCCTACAACTGGAACAAGTAGAAAGAGAGCAGCAAAAGAAGCCCTCAGGCATCATAAGAAAGGACATAATAACAATTAGAACAGAATTAAATAAAATAGAGAACAGAAAAACAATTGAAAGAGTTAACAAGACCAAAAGCTGGTTCTCTGAAAAGATCAACAAAACTGATAAACCACTCGCCAAACTCACAAAAGAAAAACAGGAGGGGAAGCAGATAACCCATATAAGAAATGAGATGGGTGATATCACAACAGACCCAACTGAAATTAAAGGAATCATAACAGAATACTATGAAAAACTGTAATCTAACAAATTTGAAAACCTAGAGGAAATGGACAAATTTCTAGAAACTCACTGCCTACCTAAAGTAACACAAACAAAGGTGGAACAACTAAATAAACCCATAACAAAAGAAGAAGTTGAAAGGTAATTTAAAAACTCCCAACAAAAAAAACCCTGACCCAGATGGCTTCACTGGAAAATTCTACCAAACTTTCAGAGAAGAGTTAACACCACTACTACTAAAGGTATTTCAGAGCATAGAAAAGGATAGAATACTCCCAAACTAATTCTATGAAGCCAGTATCACCCTGATACCAAAACCAGGTAAAGACACCACAAAAAAAGAAAATTACAGACCAATATCCCTCATGAACATTGACGCAAAAACCCTCAACAAATTCTAGCCAATAGAATTCAGCAACATATCAAAAAAATAATTCACCATGATCAAGCGGGATTTATACCAGCTATGCAGGGATGGTTCAACATTAGAAAAACAATCAATTTAATCCATCACATAAATAAAACAAAACACAAGAACCACATGATCTTATCAATTGATGCAGAAAAGGCATTTGACAAAGTCCAACACCCATTCGTGAAAAAAACTCTCAACAAAATAGGAGTAGAAGGGAAATTCCTCAATATAATTAAGGGCATTTATACAAAGCCAACAGCCAACATCATCCTAAATGGAGAGACTTTGAAAGCATTCCCCTTGAGAATGGGAACAAGACAAGGATGCCCTTTATCACCACTCTTATTCAACACTGCTGGAGGTCCTAGCCAGAGCAATTAGGCTGGAAAAAGAAATAAAGGGAATCCAAGTTGGAAGGGAAGAAGGAAAAGTGTCTCTATTTGCAGATGATATGGTCTTATACACAGAAAACCCCAAAGAATCCATAAGAAAACTACTGGAACTAATAGAAGATTTCAGCAAAGTTTCAGGATACATGATAAACATACAAAAATCAGTTGGATTCCTTTACACCAACAAAGAGAACCTCGAAGAGGAAATCACCAAATCAATACCATTTACAATAGTCCCCAAGAAGATAAAATACTTAGAAATAAGTCTAACCAGAGACGTAGAAGATCTATACAATGAAAGCTACAAGACACTACTGCAAGAAACCAAAACAGACCTGCATAAGTGCAACAACATACCTTGCTCATAGATAGGCAAACTCAACATTGTGAAAATGTCAATTCTACCCAAAGCGATCTACAGATACAATGCAATCCCTATCCAAATTCCACTGGCATTTTTTAATGAGATAGAGAAACAAATCACCAACTTCACATGGAAAGGGAGGAAGCCCCATACAAGTAAAGCATTACTGAAGAAGAACAAAGTGGGAGGCCTCACACTACCTGATTTTAGAACCTATTATACC